GCATCAAACCTATTATGTTGAGTATTAGGAGTCTATCATAAAATAATACTTTTAAAAAAATCATTGACATGACATTTAGAAAATGAGCATAAGATCAGTATCAGATGAGCATATGCAACTTACAAAATGTTCGTTGATACGAAAATCGTAAGGTTTGTTTGTTTGACATAACGAAGTTTTCATTGAGTATCAAACCTCCTCTATTGAGATGCAAGCACAGATTTGATTAAATGAGCATTGCTGAACTTTTAATGTGCATCAGATCTTTTATGAGCATTAAAATACTTTCAATGAGCATCAAACTTATTCAGTTGAGTATTAGGAACCTAACAATGTGAATCTAATGTCATATGCAACATTTAAAATTTGCATGAATATGACATTTTATTTTTAGGTACATATGAAAATGACATTTTAAAAATGAGCATAATATGAGTACAAACTGAACAAACGTAACTTACAAATGAGTATTGATATGAAAAATCATAAGTTTTTTAGTTGAACTCCAAAACATTTTTATTGAGCATCAAACATCCTCTATTGAGTATTGAAGACATGCAATTGAGTATCATGGTCTATGCTCATATATATATAATTAGCTCTTACATGAATCTAAAAAATAAATTGAAATATTTCATAATATTTTATATTATATATTTTCATAATAATTGAGTATAATTTTATAGAAGGTTGATAAAATATAAAAACAAAAAAAGGAGAACAAAAAAAAAAACAAAGAAGAATAAACAAAGGAAAAGAAAAGAAAGAGAATGTATCAAGCTAAGGAGAACGTATGGAACAAAAAAAGCATGGCCGCATGAGTGGAGCAGCGGCAAAAAGAAAATGGTAAGGCTAGGAATGGAGAGATGGTAGGCGGCCGGGAAGAATACGGACCCCGTTATAATAACTATTCAAATAACAAATAATTACAAAAAAAACCCGGGTGTACATACACCCGGATGTACATACATCCGGATGTACCATATAAATTGCCGATAAAAGTGATTTATTGAGGTAATTTCCGCTAAAAAAACTGCTGTGACAAATTGGTAAAAAAAGAAGCCCAAATGGTAAATTGGTCAGTGTTTTTTGAGTGAAACATTTTTTATTTTCGATTTTAGAATTCCCGATATTTCATATTCCAAGTATTATGAAATTGATATTTTGAGTCCTTCAATTTTGATTTTGTCATGAAATATAGGACTAAAAATTCTGTTGCATTTAAAAAATCTACTAAAAAATTCTACTCCATATGAAAGTTCTATTTTATATGGAATATTTTTTCTTTTTATATGCAGTAGAATTTTTTAAAAAACTTATAGAATAGTCATATTTAAATTATTAATACTAAAAATAAATAAACTTATACGTGTGTGCTCGACTAACTCAAAGTTGAAAGTTTGAAAATGTCATTTTGACAATACTTAGAAAATGAAATATCGGGAATTCTAAAATCAATGACAAAAAATGTTTCACTCACAAAAGAATGACTGCTGTGTCACTGTATTTAAATTATTAATACTAAAATTAAATAAACTTATACGTGATAACTCCAAGTTTTTTTTACCTATTGGTAAAAGACCCTTTTTTTACCAATATGGTAATTTGGTCCACTTTTTTGTCAAAAAAACTACAACTCATATTTTTGTCTAATAGTAGGTGAGACGTTATATTTGTGTCATTCTTTTTAAATATTATGTAAAAACTTAATGTAGTGATTTTTTTTATCGCAATGTAGTAATTTTTTAAATATTGAAAGAGTGATGTCATTAATTCTTTTTTAAATGAACTAGTATAATACCCGTGCATACGCACGAGAAAGGACATTTGGTGCATATATTTTCACTCATGATTTAATTAAATATTAAAATAAAAAATACTTTGTAGAATTCAACATTTTTGAAAAATAAGAGTACAATAAGCTAATACCATAAAGTATAAGCCCATTAATTAAATACATATCCAATGAAGAGTATATTAGGAACAATCAATTGATACCATTCATTAGAATTTACTACTTATAATTTTTCATGATTAAATTAAATTTAAAATTAAATACTATTCTGAAAAAGTGAGAACAATATGTGGGTGACATAAAGTTTAAGTGAGTTGAATAATTATTATAATTGATGAATATTATTAGTTGAAAAAGAAGTTGGTACTCATCAGTTAGATTAAAACTAACATATGAGAGAGAGAAAATTTTTCTGCTAAATTTTCAACCAGTTTCTCTTATGCCTAAAAGAACTACATATGACAGAAAATTGTCACACTCGATCAATTGTTAGTCGGATTAAAGAGAGATATTGTTCTGTCCAATTGTAGCCAGCTTATCTTATACTTAAAAGAACTATATATGATAGAGAAAGTTCTTCTGCTCAATCGTTAGCTGACTTATTTTACCTTATACAAAATACACTACAAATGAGAGAGAAAATTCATCTGCTCAATTGTTAGCAAACTTATCTTCTTAGCTTCTTATACCTAAAAGCAATACAAATGAGACATAAAATTATTCCGCTTAATTGTTAGCCGACTTATCTTATACTTAAAAAAACTACATATTACAGAGAAAGTTATCACATTCAATTGTTAATAAGATTATATTCTAATTGTAATACTTAAAAGCACTACATATGAGAGAACAAATTCTCATCCTTAATCTTCCCGCTCAATTGTTAGCAAGAAAAAGATCAACGGGAAGCTTATAAGAAGAAAGTACGTTATCCCACTCAATTCTTAGCTAGCTTACCCTATATCTAAAAGTAGAATTTGGATCCTCTCCAGTAACTGGATACTTCCAATTGGAGAGAGATAGAGAAGAGGGAAATTATGGTGGGGTATGTTGATGAGTAAGATAGAAAAAAAAGCAGAGATTGATAAGAAGAAAAAAGAAATGGATGAGAAATGGAGAGATGTTGAACTCCTAAAAGTACTACGTATGAGAGAGAAGTTCTTTCACTCAATTGTTACCCGGCATATCATATACTTAAAAAAACTATATATGAGAGAAACAATTCTTCAGCTCATTATTATGAATAGTGTTAACTTTTATTCGCAAGTTTATTTTCATTTTTCTAAATTCAGTTCGATTTGGCTTCTTATTCCCGTTGGTAATCTTCTACGGTGCTTCTTTCATGGCCCGTTATATAGTAAGAGATGCATTTTTTGTTCAAATATTCTTCCAAATGCTAGATTAGGAAGCATCTGAAACTCTTTCGTAAGTCTATCTCGTTTGTATGTACAAAATTGGAAGTTTACAATAATAACAAAATTCAAATATATTTATATATTTAATGAAATGTGAATTTTTAAGGATTCGCATTCTGTATTAAAAAAAAGAATTCTCATTCTGTTTACTATTAAAGGTGATTTGGTTCACCGGAAATAATAATACTCCTCCCCTTCCCATAAAAATCTATCTTCCCGATTTGATTTGGATCAGAATTTAAGAAAGTACGAATAAAGTGGAAATGCGCGATTAAGATTCAACAAGAAAAAGGTAAATGAATCTTAGCCACACAAAACTCCCCAAAAGGGGAAATGAGGAGAATTTTTTGGGATATCCCAAAATGGTGAGCGGAAAGAAATTTATGAGATAGGGGAGTATTTTCTAATATGATGAGATTCATGTGTATAATGTCTTGCCCTACAGATTGAATTGCAAATCTCATGAGTTAGCTATCCTGCTTTGCTATTTCCAATGGCAAAGATGGTCGATATACATCACAAAGTACATATTAAATTCACAGTTTTTAATGATCTTTCATAAAACAAATATTGCATATACAACAATGTAACTAAATTAGCTATGAGTATCCTTTTATAGTCACTTTGATATAAATTGAAACACAATTATATTAACTAAAAATCAATAAGTCATATTTATATGTATTATCCTTATTTTACTTATACTCCGTATATTACTTCCTCCGTCCCATAAAATAGTTCTCACTTTCCTTTTTGTGCCATCCCAAAAAAAAGTTCCCATTTCTCTTTTTGAAAAGTTTTGTGTGGTTAACATTCATTTATGTTTTTCTTACTCAACAACAACCATACATTTCCACTTTATTCCCACTTTCTTAAACTCCGATCCAAATCGATCAAAATGGGTACTATTTTATGGGACGGAGGTAGTAGAAATTATGTATTCATTTATACGGAATAATTGATATTGTGGTTGGAAAATATGAGGATTTAATATACCTTCATATTTTTTTTAAAAAAAATTTATATATACAATATTGGTGTCATATGAAAGATCGTAAAAAATGTTATGGCAGAAGCTGTTACTTGAAAACATTGATTTCAATTTTTAAGCCAGAAGCTGAAAAACACTTTTTAATTTCTTGCCAACACTCCCTTAGTAAGCCAAACTTTTATATTTTCTATCTTCGTAATTCGTTCCTTTATAAAGACAACAAAAAATGCAAAAGATGAAACCACGTAGCATAAGTAGAGTAATGCTCTCTAACACTGGTAGATAGACACATTGCACAATAAACAGGGTAAAACATTATTTTTAATAACCTACTACTTTCTTATACTACGTTCGCCCCATAAAACATTGCAAACTTTCAGGTTTTTGTCGTCTCAAAAAACATTGTCATTTCCACATAAAGTAAAAAATATGTGGTTAAAGTTATTTCTCATTTCTATACAGAAATATCAACTACACAATTTGTATTTTATTATTTTACGTGCAAGTCAATTTTGACCAAATTTTATGAAACGGAGGAAGTATATAAATACTTCGTATAAACAATTTTAAACATAATTATTGAGACCGTTAATAAATTATATTTTTATATTTTCAATATTGATCTCATATGAAAGATCACAAAAAATTATGAATTTTGATATATTTTTTAGAAACATTGGAGCAAAAATGAAAACGTTATAAAACTTTAAAAAAATTGGGATTTTTTATAACTTGTGAAAGAGAGAGCACCATTTGTTTTCTTATATATAAATAGAATAGATAAACATTGAGGAAGGCTCCATGAACAAAAAGGCTCTCTATGTGTTTCTGTAACTACCATCCTTCTTCATTTTCTCTTAGCAAATCCTAACTTCGGATCTTCCACCTCGTGCCTCAATGACAATCGCGTCAATTTCGTTTCCCCGGCAACCTGCGGGGCCTTATAAGTTTTCGCCTTCCACGGCCTCAGGCTTGCAGCGGAGGTACTTATCATCATCCCCCGCCATTAATATCGCAGCTCGTCGATACAATCAGAGCTTGGACAACGTTACTAGGAAAGTCCCGCACCAGAATATGAACCTCCTCAAGGCTCGCGAGGATTTCAAGCGATTTTCGTCTCCCGCTTCCGTTCTCTGTCACGAAGACAAGCTGAACCTGTCTCAGGACCAAGCGGTAGGGACGGTTTCTGCTTCGCAAGCAAACTTCATGCGTGTTATAGTGCAATCACTTCCTTCTGAAGTTTGTACTATTTCTGAATTGACTGAAGGTTCCGGTGGCACTCCAGGAGTTGTGGTGGAGCTTTTGTGTGTGGTGAAGGCGGTGTTGAAGAAGATCAAGAGAAGAGTGATGGTTGGGGATAAAGTTCTTGTTGGTTCTATTGATTGGGTTGATAGACGAGGAATGATAGAGAATGTGTTCCGGAGGAAGTGCGAGATTTCAGACCCTCCTGTGGCGAATGCTGATCATTTGCTAGTGTTATTTTCCTTGGAGCAACCTAAACTTGAGGCCTTCTCCCTCACTAGATTCCTTATTGAGGCTGAGTCAAGTGAAATTCCTTTCACCCTTGCATTAAACAAGTGTGAACTTGTTCCTGAAGAGGTTTGCATCTTCATGAAAATGAAAATATTATCAACCTTTGACATTTTATGATTAGTGTACTTATAATGGCATTGATAGGATCTTATTTGACTCATAAAGTATATTAAGAGGAAAAAATGTGGTTTTATGAACTTTATGCTGTGAGTTATTCAAGTGTGTGAGGAAATGCTTTAGCAATGCCAAGTTTGCAATGGATCTTGCAATTATTCTTAAGCTGTATAACAGTCACCCCGCAGTTGTATCAGGATTCTCCTTTTACACTAATAATAAAGAACAAGAAACTCCAATTAGAAGAGAGAAGAAATCAATAATACAATTATACCCCATCTGGTTAATCATTACACCTAGATATATAAGAGATTGAAACGCAACAATGCACCTATAAATGAAGTACAACTCTTTGATCAGTCGGTCAAAATCTTTCTATAACTCCAGCTCCTATCAATGCATGAAATAAGTCTATTTCAATACATGAATAGCCATCTCCGGATCTCCCGCCTATCATTCCACACTACATCTGAATCTTAATGAATATACACGCATATGAGATCCTGGCAGAAGAAATGGACTCTTGAAACAACTCAAATCTACATTGTTGTATTCACCACACATATAACTCATTTGATTTAGCTACCAAAAATGCCAGAGTATTGAATGTAAGGTAGAAGATCTGGTTTGGTTAAAGCTCCAGGTGTTTGAGAGAATCCAGATGAAATTATATGTCAAACATACACTATTCTCATTTGATGTATAGTCACATACCTATTACTTGTACAGTATACTAATATACGTAGTACTAAATATATGTTGCTTCAGGTTTTGTCATTTTAATATCAAACTTATGGTTGGTGTTTGGCATGATTTATCAGTTACAGTTCTAATGTAGCTTTAGCAGAGAATGCTCTAAGAAGCTCTTCTGGTTTTAGTGAAGTGAGCTTTTCAAATCCTACAATGTATGCACAATTGGTTCCTGAACTCAAACTTGTGGCCATGGGTTTGTTTTTTCATTTTCATTTTTTCATTATTAATTAGATAATAAATGATAATGTTCCACATGTCCATATCTTTTAATGTTGTAAGCTCTTCAAGTTCCATAATGTAACATGTTGGATTCTATTGAATTTGCTTCCTGTTGTTTATTCATTTATTCATCTATCATTGGTTACCTTCATGGATATTAATAATTTCATGAGGCAATGTTTATCACTTATGCAGACATTGGCTGCATGGAGATGTAGGCTTCACAAATGGGGCTATGAACCTATCTTTTGCAGTGCTAAGTTGATGCTTGGAATTGATGCTTTGCAGTTCATTATGAGAGAAAGGACCTCAGTAATTGTGGGACCTAGTGGTGTTGGAAAATCTAGTCTCATTAATGTGATGAGAATCAATAAATGTGGTATCTCTGGTGCTGCCGACGGAGGCATAGGTTTCTCTCATCCAGTGAGCTTTTTCTAGCCTTTAATATATTTTTCATAAATTTCTCTGGAGAGACTTGTCAGGTTTTTGACAGAAAATGGTTTGGAGAGCAGCAAAGTGTTGGGGAAGTGTCCACCAGAAGTGGAAGGGGGAAGCATACAACCAGGAACATTTCCTTACTTCCAATATCTGGAGGAGGGTATATTGCTGATACTCCTGGATTTAACCAGCCTAGTTTGACTAAAGTGACAAAGCAGTCCCTTGCTCAAAGTTTTCCTGAGGTGCATTTTTGCTGGAATCACCTATACTTTCTCACTTATTTTGAACCAATAAATGGCCATAGCATTACTCTTTCTTCAGATCCTAAAAAGGCTTGAAGACAAAGAACCTTTGAAGTGTTCTTTCAGCAATTGCTTGCATCTCGGCGAACCAGGGTGTGTTGTTGGTGGAGACTGGGAAAGATACCCATACTACCTTCGGTTGCTTGATGATATTAGAATCAGAGAGGAAATTCAACTTCGGGTTATAGGGACTAAACAAGAAAGTGATGTCAGGTGTGTCGTTGGACTGAATTCTTTTTTTTTCTTTTTTTTTTAGGGAGGGAGGGTGTGTGGCAAGTTTGACAGTAGTATATCGAAAATCACAACTATTAATTGTTCTACTATAAGTTTTTTAATTTTGGTACTATACACAGTGTCATTATTTTTTCAGGTATAAAGCACGAGATAGAGGTGTTATGCACGCCGAACCAAGGTTAGAACCCAAGAAACACAGGAGACAATCCCGTAAGGAGGTGAACCAATCAGTATTGGACAAGCTGAATGAACTTGAAGATGATGAAGACACCACAAATGGATTGTGACATGCCAACATTATCAAGGGAAATGAATCAATGATACTACAAAAAAGTAATGGTAACGAGACATTAAATATGGACATTCTGAGCAGTACCCATTTATTGGTTGATGATCACCATCATCCATTGAATGTGTCATATTTAATGTTTCTCTATGATGTTCATATTTAATGTCCGCTAACATTAGTCAACAGCAAACTAACTCGTCATGGAAGTTACCGTGAATAAGTAGCGAGTGTGTGTTTGTCGAGGGGTAAATGAAATCGTTGAGTTTTAGAGGCCAGGAGTATGTAGATGTGACAGACTATCACCACTGAAGAGGCTAAATAGTTGAAGCTGCATGACAATATTGATTAGTTTGTTGTGGCTTCCATTGTTCTTCCCTAAGTTTTTTACATAGCCTGGACTCATTGAAAGAAAAAAGAGATGCAAAATGTAACATTGTGAATAGAACAACCCTAGTGTGGTAGATGATCTTTGAGAATTGCAGTCATCTTGTCCTGGAGAGTTCATGTTCATGTGGGTAATATTTTTGAAGGCCTAATGGTAAATATTCGGATCCTTCACAGATTGTCTGTGATTTTGGCCAATTCTGTAAAAATTAGTCGTAACTTTGGCCAACACTCGAAGCTTACATTTTTTCCCTATGTGAAGCTTGCATTGTTTTAAAAGTTGCAAGTGGAGTATTTTTGTGACTGAATAGCAAGATTTTTAATCAAAATTGCAACTTATTCAGTTGAGAGTTTTTTCAAAATTTCAACAAATTTTGAAACAATGCACTTCATTCGTTCTTGTTTAGTTATAGCAATTTGACTTTTACATTTGATAATATATAACCACAAGGAATATTATATTTAATCAGTAATTAGTTAGACGAATTAAACATATTTGTTAATACTCTAATCAATGAACTTTAGCTTCAAATTGCCCACACATTGGTTTTCACTTTTCTAGTGCTCCATCTAGGCGTATTGGATGATCAAAGTCTGCTGCGAGATAAGGCTCAGAATTCACATTCATCTATGTTACAATTTTATATTAAACAGTTCAATGGTTTTTGGGGAATCAAGATTCCAAATATGGAAGCGTTGCACACTTGCACAGAGCGCATTAAAGGGATAAGGCTAAAAAAGGACACTAAGGTTACTTACGAATCTCAAATTGGACACTTAGTTTTTACGTGGACCAAATTAACACATAATTCACTTATTACAGTTACATTTGGCCACCCACTAACGTTTCTTATTAACGGTCCATCTTTTAACCTTCCACCGTCCATCCTAAGGTTAACAATTCTTTATCCCTTTCAATTTGTAGCTACAAATCAAATTAATAGAAATCCAAAAGTTGCTCCCACTGCGAACACTCCCTTTTTTGCCAGTGGATCTGGTGCCCAGTGGGTAAGTAAGTATTGATGCTTAGGTCAATTACTTTTGCCACCTTTGGCATACCTGGAAAAGCTTTCCCATGTCCGGTTGAGTTGTTGTACCAGTAGAATAAGCCATTGAGAAGAGGGGCAAGGAGAGACACTCGCTGGGCAATTCTTATGCTTTCAGGAGGAAGGTTCATCAGCAACTTCTACTTTTTGCCTGCAGCTTTCCTTTGGAGACTCGAAGATTTTGGCACGAGCTTTTGGAAACAAGCCTGGAACCATGGATCTGGAGACAGAGCCGCTGGCAAAGCCGAAGTCCGGAGAGGCGGAGAGGAAGGACGGTCGACGCAGGTCGCTGGACGCGTGGACGGAAGCAGGCGTCGCGGTTGGTGGCTTGGTGTTCGTGTCTTCGTCGCAGGGTCGCATCTCACAGCTTCTTCATCGCAAGCTCTGAAGCTCTGTCTTCGTTCTTCGACTTTCCTTCTTCGTTAAAATGAGATGTTAGTGGGTGGCCAAATGTTATCCAAATAAGTGAATTATGTGTTAATTTGGTCCATTTAAAAGTTAAGTGTCCAAATTGAGATTACCAAATAACCTTAGTGTCCTTTTTGAGCCTTATCTCCGAATTAAACAGAGGCTACGTTAGCAAATAGGTGGCACAACAACAGATTCAGCACTTCATAATTCAGTTCCAGATAATAATTTCCGATTAAGACAATAGTCTCCAATTCATACATTAGTCTCCAGCACAAACTCGTTGTGCCAAACATAGCCCAAGTCCATTCTAATCAGAACTATGGTTCAGTTTTGCAAACTATATAAAGCAATAGATCCAAAATTATACATTTAGGACCAGACCTATGGTCCAGGTTGAATCCAAAACCATGTCCGAAATCCACCCAAACAGTCCTAAAACACTTCAATAGTAAACGATATTTGATGAACCAAATGATAAATTAATATATATCCATTTATAGAGGTTATCTCAATAACACGAACTTATATGGAAGCCGTGACTGTTAGGAAATTGATGTAACGTACCTCGAAAGTACGGCAGCGGAAGTTTAAAATTTTCCCAAACAGATCTTCCTGATTATGACAAAATAACGAATATGATAATAATAACGGATCTGAATTAGAACTTACAGATCTTCCACCCTAGCGGTGATAATCCTTGACCTTTGGTATCCACGTGATTTCTCCTTTCCGAAAGAACGATTAGATCTCCCTAAGAGAAAGGCTAGGAAATCTCTTCGCAGGAAAATAAACTGATAATACTGAATCTGAAAACTGGTCTATCAATTATGAAGGAGAATGATGTATTTATACTAGTTCTAAACTAGTTTCCCAATCACAATGAAAGTGTTCTTCATTAATGAGTTTTAATCCTATTAGGACCAAAACTCATTATTTAATTAAATAGTTGAATAAAACAAAATAATTAATAATAATATTAATAACAATAGAGAAGTGGCACGTCACTCTCTATTTGTTATACCTGTTGGAAAAATGTGTTAAAAATTGCATTAAATTGTCATTTTGGGGCAATTATTTGAGTGGGGTCCACTTCCGATTTGGGTCGGGTCAAAGTGGTTTCGGATTGTCCTTGTTAAGGGCTACAATTTGATATATGGTACACTCAAAACGGATAACGGGTGAATGAGAAATTGATTCTCGAAGTTCACTCGTTGAAATGGAAAAACTGGGAAAATGGTGAGTTTCTAGTGTGTTTTATCCCACACCGAAAAACTCAAGGGATTTTCACCCCCTTATAAAGGGAAGCCTCTTTTCAGGAGTTAAGATTCCTAAAGGGAAAGGCTCTCTCTTACGCGCAGGAGGGGGGGGGGGGGGTGCCGATCAAATCCCGAAACGGAGAAGAAAAACCGCGACTCGTGTGCGCGGGCGACCTGCGGACACGAATGTCGTCCGAAAACCTATCATTCAAAGATACGGTCTAAGTTTTGTTTCTTCCCGTAACGTTTTATTTTTTCCCAGGATCAGAGTTGCTCGAACTCTGGTGGCTTCGGATCAGAGTTGCTCGAACTCTGGTGGCTTCGGACCAGAAGCTCGAACTCTGGTGGCTTCGCATCAGAGTTGCTCCAACTCTGGTGGAGGTCTTCTGGTAGCATCAGAACTGCTCCAACTCTGGTGGGGGTATTCTGATCGCGCACCAGAACTGCTCCAAGCCCGGTGATGAACATTGGAAGACAATAGTAAGGGGTTTGAGGTATTTACGAAAAACCCAAAACCTTGGACTGCACTATGCTAGATATCCAGATGTACTTAAGGGGTATAGCGACGCTAGTTGGATATCTGATATTAAGGACTCAAAGTCCACAAGTGGATATGTTTTCACTTTGGGAGGTGCAGCCGTGTCATGGAAATCCTCGAAATAAACGGTAATAGCTAGATCCATGATGGAATATGAGCTAATAGCCTTGGATAAATGCACCGAAGATGTTGAATGGCTACGCCATTTTCTTGAGGATATTCCGAGTTGGGAAAAGCATGTCCCTCCAATATGCATACATTGTGATTGTCAAGTGACAATCGGAAGGGTACAAAGCAACATGTATAATGGTAAGTCTAGACATATTCGTCCTAGACATAACACCATTAAACAACTTCTCACAACAGGTGTTATCACAGTTGACTACATGAAGTCAAATGATAACATAGCGGATCTGCTAATCAAGACATTGGATAGAAAATTGTTGGAGAAGTTGTCATGAGGAATGAGACTGAAGTTCGTGAATTGAAAAGTTCTATAATGGATACCCAACCTAGTTGGTAGCATCAGAACTGCTCCAACTCTGGTGGGGGTATTCTGATCGCGCACCAGAACTGCTCCAAGCCGTTACAACCATTAAATGCCCAACGCTCTTGTCTTTTAATGCAACGTTAAATGGACAGTTTATGGATGATTCAATGCCCAACGGACTGGTCATTGAAGTCCAACGTTCAGGTCCATTAACACCCCATTTAACACACAACAAATCCTCCTATAAATAGCTGGCAGGTGGTTTGCAACAACACAACGCACAATACTTTCCTCACGAATTTCTTGAGCTAAAAACACCTAAAGCTACTCAGCAAACTTCCTTCTGTGTTCATACTTGGTTCTCGTTCGCTGGAACTCTTGTTTGTGTGCTCAAACATTAGTTCGTAGTCATCGTATCCTGGGAAACGATTGTTGCAACGCTCCTAGCACCGTGGGAGGCAACAAATACGTTTTAAGGAAATCGTGCGTAGCACGAGCTTTGACTAATTCTGCTTCATCTCCTTTCCTGTTTTTCTTTAGTCATTTTATTTAATTAATTTATTTTAATTAATTTTCTTTATTTTCCGAAACACACCCAACAATCTTAAAACGTATTTGTTGATTGTTCTACTCCGGTAAACAATCTTAAACGTAGTTTGTCACTTTGGTGAACGAACTTATTTTATTTGTGTTTTCGGAAAAACGTTAAAGAACGAAAATGACTTCTCAAGAAAACGAGATTGGTGTTGGGCAGAATGTTCTGAACGACAATCACTCTGAAAGTGGAGCACCGGTGAACAATGGTTCACAACGCGGTGCATCTACTTTGGCCAACCAAAGGGCTATCCCTATGGTGACCGTGCCAAGCAACTCTGTGGAGAAACCCGAGAAATTCAACGGGTTAAACTTCAAGAGGTGGCAGCAAAAGATGCTATTTTACCTCACTACTCTCGGTCTTGCTAGATTCTTGACCGAAGATGCGCCGGTAGCAACCGGGGGTGAGGTGGATGCGCAATCTTTCAACGCGGTTGAAGCTTGGAAGCATTCGGACTTCCTTTGCCGAAACTATGTGTTGAACGGGCTGCATGATGCTTTGTACGACGTGTATAGCAAACTAGCTACGGCTAAGGAGCTATGGAATGCTTTGGACCACAAATATAAAAGCGAGGATGCCGGCGCAAAGAAATTTGTTGTTGGTCGATTCCTTGACTTTAAAATGGTGGATTCGAAGACGGTCTTGAGTCAAGTTGAGGAGATGCAAATGATCTTCAACGAAATTCGAGATGAAGGAATGACAGTTAGTGAGTCTTTCCAAGTGGCGTCAATTATCCATTTATTGCCGCCAGCTTGGAAGGATTTCAAGAACTACCTTAAGCACAAGCGAAAGGAAATGAACTTGGAGCAATTGATCCTCCGTCTGCGGATTGAAGAGGATAACCGGAAGAACGATGGGAAACTCCCAATTGTTCATGGCGCCAAGGCCAA